ATCTACTGGACTCAACATTAGATTCTTGATTAGAAAAAGTAGAAGACACAGAAAATAGAAAGGGACTGTGGAACACTCAGTGGGCTTTTCCCCATGTGGTATCAGTCTGGAATGAAGCTTTTCCAAGAACAGAGAAGCCCCAGGTGTGCAGAGACAGAAAGTCTGCTGGGGCTGGAGTGCAGTGCTAGCCCACTAAGAACTTTGCACCCATCCTTTTAAAAAAATGAAACAGGGGACCTGCAGATGGTGTAATGGCTATGTTGCTGGGCTCCCATGTAGTCAACTGTGGTTTGAGTCCGGACTCAGCAGCTTAAACTTACGCCAGGCGTGTGTGCGTGTGTGCCCAAGATCCCGAGAGGAGAATGGAGGAGAAGGGATTGCAGCGTGGCCATCCCCCCTGGGGGGTAATTTCTCACTTCCTGTCTCTCTGTCTCTCTCTGTCTTTCTGGTGAGCACACACGCCCTATAGCGTAAACCTCTTCAAAAAAGAAAGAAAGAAAAGTGAAAAAAAAAAAAAACTTTCCCTCTCTTTCTCTGTCTTTCTCTGATCAAATTTTTAAAAAATAATAATGAGGGACGAGCAGGTGGCGTGGTGGTTAAGGTGCTGGACACTCCCATATGGCTGACCACGGTTCGAGTCCCAGACCTGGCGGCTTTCTTTCTCCCTTTCTCTCTCTCTCTCTCTCTCTCTCTCTCTCTCTCTGAGTGTGTGTGTCTCTCTCTGGTCAAATCATTTTAAAAAAATAAAATAATAATGATGAATAAAATTAAATAATTCTTAAAATACATATATGTGTGTGAATATATATACATACAAAGCAAGAGCCCACATTCCTTATTCTTACATTCATATACCTAAAATTACTTCATCAGAATGCTGTAAAATTTCTAAACACTTCTATTTCCATACTTATTTTGTCACAGAAGGACAACGGTCTAAAACACCAGTCCTGGCCCACACTGAAAGAGTTCTGGGGACTCCTTGGGCCTCAGGAATCCCCACCCAAAGGAGGTGGGGATTCCTGAGCTCCCCTTCCCATCCAAACTAGGTTGATGGTGCTGGGAAGTTTCTGGAAACTGTGATTGTCACAAGATAGTAAAAATTGTGACTTGCTATCTGTACTGAATGTTTTTCTTTCTTTTTTTTACAGTTTCTGTAGTACAGGTGCATTCACGCTTGGGATTTGGGGCACAAATGTACCCATACCTGGAGTATTTTTCTTTTCTTTTTAAAATTTATTTATTTAATTGTATTTATTATTGTTATTGTAGTTTTCTATAGGGCACACATGCTCACCAGAGAGAGACAGAGAGAACAAGGGAAAGTGAGAAAGCAAGCTGCCAGATCCGGTCAGCCATGCAGAAGTCCAGCTCCTCAACCACCACACCAACTACTGGCCCCCTTGGCATGTCTATCAAGCTGCTGGGTCCAGGACTTGAACCATGCAGTTGACCATGTGGGCTTCATCTATCTTATCTACTGTGCCACTAGCTGGCTCCCACTCTGAATTTTTCTAGCCTTCCTTCCTTAGTCCTATGAAAGAGTTTCACTTCCTACTCCACCATTCCACCCCCACGTAGTTCCTAATCCCATCTAATGGTGTCTAAAGTCCCTACTAGGAGCCACAAGTTCTTTCTTTACATTCATTCATTCATGTATCTAGGCACTTTCTTTTCTTTTCTTTTCTTTTTTTTTAATTTTTAAAGAATTATCTTAGGGGCTGCCAGTTGGTGTGGTGGTTAAAGGCTCTGGACTCCTATATGACTGACCATAGGTCAAGTCCTGGACCTGATACCTGATGACTTGCTTTCTCACTTTCCCTCTCTCTCTCTCTGTCTGATCAAACTGGAAAATAAGACGAAGAAAGAATTATTTTATTTTATTTATTGTTATTATTATTTTAATTTAACCAGAGAAAGAAAGGAAGTAAGAAAGCAAGCCACCAGGTCTAGGACTTGAACCAAGGTCACCCATGTGGGAGTCCAGCGCCTTAACCACACCACCACCTGCTGGTAGGTACCTTCTTAAGCACTAAGAATACAAAGTTAATCTAAAGGACAGATTCCCGAGTAAGGAGCCAAACTCCTAGTAACAAAGTGATATGGGAAAGAAAGGCATCAGACTTTCCTGAAATAGCTCTGGGTGGCCCAGAGGTTGATTCACAGGTATATAAGCAGTTAACAAACGGACATCTAACCCTCAGCTATGAAGGAGTAGACCTACTAGGAACAACTGAAACTTCCCAAAACTTACATTTGTAGAACGTGGTAGAAGGGACTGTTAGAGGGTCTCACCATTCTATCACCCCATAGTCATCAAAGGAGAAGGTAGGGACAGTGGGCTCACTGACTTGCCTGCATAAATGAGTAGCAGGAGGCCCCACGTAGAGTTCTTCTATAATTTGTTAACACTTTGGGGAGGAAGGCAGGGCAAAGAGTGAGATCTCACTGACAGAGAACACTCTGCTCCCAGGGACAGGCAACCTGCCTTCAGGTTTAGGGACCTAGCCTGCTCAGGGCTACATGATCCTGAGAAACAGACTCTCAAGCAGGAAAAGACAAAATTGACTTACAGGGAAAATAAACCTCAATGGTGGGAGAATGGCCCCTCTCTGAGTCTGGGAGGGGAGGAGGGCTAGCCAGGAGGGCCGGGCGGGCGGGGTTTTTCTCAAAGGCTTTGGGCTGAGTCCCTCCTCCCTGAAGCAGGTGGCGTGGTGGTTAAGGTGCTGGACACTCCCATATGGCTGACCACGGTTCGAGTCCCAGACCTGGCGGCTTTCTTTCTCCCTTTCTCTCTCTCTCTCTCTCTCTCTCTCTCTCTCTCTCTGAGTGTGTGTGTCTCTCTCTGGTCAAATCATTTTAAAAAAATAAAATAATAATGATGAATAAAATTAAATAATTCTTAAAATACATATATGTGTGTGAATATATATACATACAAAGCAAGAGCCCACATTCCTTATTCTTACATTCATATACCTAAAATTACTTCATCAGAATGCTGTAAAATTTCTAAACACTTCTATTTCCATACTTATTTTGTCACAGAAGGACAACGGTCTAAAACACCAGTCCTGGCCCACACTGAAAGAGTTCTGGGGACTCCTTGGGCCTCAGGAATCCCCACCCAAAGGAGGTGGGGATTCCTGAGCTCCCCTTCCCATCCAAACTAGGTTGATGGTGCTGGGAAGTTTCTGGAAACTGTGATTGTCACAAGATAGTAAAAATTGTGACTTGCTATCTGTACTGAATGTTTTTCTTTCTTTTTTTTACAGTTTCTGTAGTACAGGTGCATTCACGCTTGGGATTTGGGGCACAAATGTACCCATACCTGGAGTATTTTTCTTTTCTTTTTAAAATTTATTTATTTAATTGTATTTATTATTGTTATTGTAGTTTTCTATAGGGCACACATGCTCACCAGAGAGAGACAGAGAGAACAAGGGAAAGTGAGAAAGCAAGCTGCCAGATCCGGTCAGCCATGCAGAAGTCCAGCTCCTCAACCACCACACCAACTACTGGCCCCCTTGGCATGTCTATCAAGCTGCTGGGTCCAGGACTTGAACCATGCAGTTGACCATGTGGGCTTCATCTATCTTATCTACTGTGCCACTAGCTGGCTCCCACTCTGAATTTTTCTAGCCTTCCTTCCTTAGTCCTATGAAAGAGTTTCACTTCCTACTCCACCATTCCACCCCCACGTAGTTCCTAATCCCATCTAATGGTGTCTAAAGTCCCTACTAGGAGCCACAAGTTCTTTCTTTACATTCATTCATTCATGTATCTAGGCACTTTCTTTTCTTTTCTTTTCTTTTTTTTTAATTTTTAAAGAATTATCTTAGGGGCTGCCAGTTGGTGTGGTGGTTAAAGGCTCTGGACTCCTATATGACTGACCATAGGTCAAGTCCTGGACCTGATACCTGATGACTTGCTTTCTCACTTTCCCTCTCTCTCTCTCTGTCTGATCAAACTGGAAAATAAGAAGAAGAAAGAATTATTTTATTTTATTTATTGTTATTATTATTTTAATTTAACCAGAGAAAGAAAGGAAGTAAGAAAGCAAGCCACCAGGTCTAGGACTTGAACCAAGGTCACCCATGTGGGAGTCCAGCGCCTTAACCACACCACCACCTGCTGGTAGGTACCTTCTTAAGCACTAAGAATACAAAGTTAATCTAAAGGACAGATTCCCGAGTAAGGAGCCAAACTCCTAGTAACAAAGTGATATGGGAAAGAAAGGCATCAGACTTTCCTGAAATAGCTCTGGGTGGCCCAGAGGTTGATTCACAGGTATATAAGCAGTTAACAAACGGACATCTAACCCTCAGCTATGAAGGAGTAGACCTACTAGGAACAACTGAAACTTCCCAAAACTTACATTTGTAGAACGTGGTAGAAGGGACTGTTAGAGGGTCTCACCATTCTATCACCCCATAGTCATCAAAGGAGAAGGTAGGGACAGTGGGCTCACTGACTTGCCTGCATAAATGAGTAGCAGGAGGCCCCACGTAGAGTTCTTCTATAATTTGTTAACACTTTGGGGAGGAAGGCAGGGCAAAGAGTGAGATCTCACTGACAGAGAACACTCTGCTCCCAGGGACAGGCAACCTGCCTTCAGGTTTAGGGACCTAGCCTGCTCAGGGCTACATGATCCTGAGAAACAGACTCTCAAGCAGGAAAAGACAAAATTGACTTACAGGGAAAATAAACCTCAATGGTGGGAGAATGGCCCCTCTCTGAGTCTGGGAGGGGAGGAGGGCTAGCCAGGAGGGCCGGGCGGGCGGGGTTTTTCTCAAAGGCTTTGGGCTGAGTCCCTCCTCCCTGATCCCCCATTGGGTCAGTGGTTCCTGCAGCCCTGCCAGTGAGGGACAAATGAGAAGAGCTGTTGATTTTTCCCCCTTGGCCATTCAGACATAAATACTGAGAAAGGCCCTGCCCTCTCCTCACTTCTCTGGACTTGGCCCTGAGCTGGACCTGGTCCCCTGGGGGTAGGCAGGGCCATGGGGGACCTGTTTATGTTTGGGATGGCTGTGGGCATATTCTGTGCCACCTTCAGTGTCTCTGCCTGGTAAGTCCTTTCCCCACCACTCCCTCCCAGCCAAGCAAGCCCCATGATCTCAGCCCCATTCACCTCCACCTCACCTTTTCTCTTTTTGGTAGGTCAGTGAACAATTTCCTGGTAACAGGCCCCAAGGTAGGATGGCCTCTGGCTCCTGGTTTTACCCTTAGGGTTTCTGGGAGGGGAGACAGTGCTGGAACCCCCTCCCCAAGAGGAACCCATGATGACTTCCTAAAGGAGAGCTAGCACATTTGAGTTCCACCTGCAGGAGGAAGCTCACCGCCCTTTTCCTTCTGCCAGGCCTATCTAACCTACACTACCAGCGTGGCCTTGGGTGCCCAGAGTGGCATTGAGGAGTGTAAGTTCCAATTCACTTGGGAACGCTGGAACTGCCCTGAAAATGCTCTCCAGCTCTCCACCCACAACAGGCTGAGAAGCGGTAAGTTGGTGTGGGACTACTCTGTATGAGGAGGTACGTGTGCACATGCACGTTACATACACGCCTATTGAAAAGTTACCCGTGACCTGCTGGCCTGCCACCTCTTTGCTGTGTGACTTTAAGTGTGTTGCTTCCCCTCTCTCAACCCAGCTTTGCCATTTACGTTCCTAAAGCCAGCTCTGCTTAGCTTATTGGAGCATTTGAAGGGTTGAGGGAGCTGGACAGAAGGAGTCTCTATACAAATGTAAGAAATTACTTTTATAAATGCACAACTGTATCTGTGTGTATGTGTGTGTATACACACTTATCTTATTATTATTTGCATGAAATAAAACTGTGGAAAGGGCTTTAGGTTTGCAGCCCCTGAGGAGTTTCACATCTGCCCAGCTGTCCCAGAAATGACGCTGAGGGCTAACACTGAGCTGTGCCTCCGTGTGTGCGTGTGCATATGTGTGCATGCCGCTGTCTGTGCCTGTATGTAGTAGTTGGCACGAAAGTCGTGTGTGCAGAAATATACAGTTGCCTGAGAGGAGCTAGAGGGAAGGGAGTAAAGAAGATAGAAAGGAGGAAGAAATATCTTCTTTTGGAGAGTATGGCTAGGTAAGGAGTATGTGGAATGTAATGACAGTGTAGAGTTAGTTAGGCAGGAGCTCAGTAGTGCCAGCCATGATCATTGTGACTGTCACGTGGCTTCAGCCTCAGGTTCACAAAGAAGAATGGTCTTCCTTCTCTCGATACTAAGCCAGCCTCTTGGCCCTGAGTCTCGCTGCTCAAGGACCAGCGGCTGGTGGACCGAGGTCTAGGTTGGGCTCAGGAGAGCAGGGTACAGGTCCCAATGCCACAACTGCAAAGTGCAGCTAGTCTCATCATTCTGTCGCTGGGTTTGCCTTTCCCATCTGTAGCATGGGACTCTAATTCTTGCCTGGATGAGGTAAGGATGCTGGAGCAACAGGCATTGTTCTCTCAAGGAGAAGCACATCCTCTTAAACCCAAAGGAGGTGGGGGGCAGGGGAGCGAAACAGCATCATTTTTCCATAGCCTCTGCTTGGATCATCAGAGCCCATTTCCAGTCAGTCTCCTCCTTCTCTCCAAAGCCACCAGAGAGACTTCCTTCATTCACGCTATCAGCTCTGCAGGAGTCATGTATACCATCACCAAGAATTGTAGCATGGGTGACTTCGACAACTGTGGCTGTGATGAATCCAAAAATGGAAAAACTGGTAAGCTGGGTTTTCTGATGGCAGTGGGAATTGGTGAGGGCCCACAGAGCAAGTGCGAGCCTCCTAGGGAAAGTCTGCCAGCTTCCCCAGGCCCCTTAACGGCAGCAGCCCCTTCATCTGTGGGAGCGCCTGGACCTAGACTGCTGTGAGCGTGAGGCTGGGGCTGTGAGTCCAGGGATCAGCGAGTAGCTCAAAAACCAGTAAGGCAACTGGGAATGAGAAAGCCGAAAAGAGTTTAGAGCTAGCTCTGACACTGCAGGTTTGTTCAGAATCCGGAGTTCATAATCAACTAGTTGCCGACCGCTGTGAGACTTACTCAGATTTGTCGCTCACAGGGGAGGAGGTGGCTCTGATGAGACCACTGTAGAAGAATTCCTGGAGGTGTGAGCTGCAGGGAACCTGTAAGAGCATCCATACCAGCCCCAGTGTGCTGCTTCTACTGTGGCTATAGGAGACTAGTCACTTAGAGCTGGGAAGTACCTCAAGGGTGGGCAGGTGGCTTTGGGAACAGGAGTCCCCCCACCTGCCCTAAGCACCTCCATCCCCTGTCTCACCCTTCAGCTCTAGCTTGATACCTTTCAAGGGTTCTTGGGGATGGTGTGACTGTGTCAGCCAAAAAGATGTTGACTCATCTCCTGGGACAGCAGGGGAGCTATATGCAGAACTTATTCTTTCCTTATGTGTAGGAGGCCATGGCTGGATCTGGGGAGGCTGCAGCGACAATGTGGAATTTGGGGAAAAGATCTCTAAACTCTTTGTGGACAGTTTGGAGAAGGGGAAGGATGCCAGAGCCCTGATGAATCTTCACAACAACAGGGCCGGCAGGCTGGTGGGTATAGGATCAGCCGGTGCTGGCAATAGCCTCACATCTGCCTTCACAACCACCACTGCCTCACCCCCCCCATTTCATCCTCACACCACCCGGCGGGGCTGAGGTGTCTACCTCCTTCCTTTCCACAGCCAGCTGAGTCTGAGCCAAGCATCTGAGCCAGGCTGTGAACTCAGATCTTTTAGTCAGTCTTTTCTCTTATCACTAAGCATTATGTTCTAGTTCCTTCCACAGGCAGGTTTCTGAGAACACAGAACAACACAGAATCAAGGCCTAGCTTCTATGACTAATCACTTTTTTTTTAAGAGAAAGATTTTTTGCTACAGGGCGTGTGTGCTCACCAGAGAGACAGAAAATAAGAAATCATCCCTGGAAAGATGCCCATGCCACAGGCCCTTCTCCTTTATTCTCTCGGGATTTTGGGCACATACACATGTACCCAGCATGAGGTTTAAGCCTCTGGGCCCAGGGCTTGAACTGCGGTCGACTATGTGGGAGTCCAGCAACATAACCATTACACCATCTGCTGGTCCCAAAATTTTAATCACTTTAACTGCATGTTCTAGGAAACTAACAGAGACTTATTATCCAGGCTTGTGTCCAAAAGTCTCTCTGGGCTATGAGGGACTGGAGCTTATCTAGACTTCTCTGGATGTTCTATTTCTCCCTAAGACTCCTGGTGGGGTAGCAATCTCTGGGGTATTCTGTCCTCAGATATGAAAACAAGTTGAGGGACCAGCAGTTGGCATAAGGCTATGTCGCAGGACTCCCATATAGTCGACCACGGTTCTTGTCCCGGACCCAGTGGCTTAAACTCACGCCGGGCACATGTGCGTGTGTGCGTGCCTAAGATCCTGAGAGGGGAATGGAGGAGAAGGGATTGCGGCGTGGCCATCCCCCCTGGGGTGATTTCTCGCTTTCTGTCTCTCTCTTTCTGTCTTTCTGGTGAGCGCATGTGCCCTATTGCAAAAACTTCTCCAAAACCAGTAAGGCAACTGGGAATGAGAAAGCCGAAAAGAGTTTAGAGCTAGCTCTGACACTGCAGGTTTGTTCAGAATCCGGAGTTCATAATCAACTAGTTGCCGACCGCTGTGAGACTTACTCAGATTTGTCGCTCACAGGGGAGGAGGTGGCTCTGATGAGACCACTGTAGAAGAATTCCTGGAGGTGTGAGCTGCAGGGAACCTGTAAGAGCATCCATACCAGCCCCAGTGTGCTGCTTCTACTGTGGCTATAGGAGACTAGTCACTTAGAGCTGGGAAGTACCTCAAGGGTGGGCAGGTGGCTTTGGGAACAGGAGTCCCCCCACCTGCCCTAAGCACCTCCATCCCCTGTCTCACCCTTCAGCTCTAGCTTGATACCTTTCAAGGGTTCTTGGGGATGGTGTGACTGTGTCAGCCAAAAAGATGTTGACTCATCTCCTGGGACAGCAGGGGAGCTATATGCAGAACTTATTCTTTCCTTATGTGTAGGAGGCCATGGCTGGATCTGGGGAGGCTGCAGCGACAATGTGGAATTTGGGGAAAAGATCTCTAAACTCTTTGTGGACAGTTTGGAGAAGGGGAAGGATGCCAGAGCCCTGATGAATCTTCACAACAACAGGGCCGGCAGGCTGGTGGGTATAGGATCAGCCGGTGCTGGCAATAGCCTCACATCTGCCTTCACAACCACCACTGCCTCACCCCCCCCATTTCATCCTCACACCACCCGGCGGGGCTGAGGTGTCTACCTCCTTCCTTTCCACAGCCAGCTGAGTCTGAGCCAAGCATCTGAGCCAGGCTGTGAACTCAGATCTTTTAGTCAGTCTTTTCTCTTATCACTAAGCATTATGTTCTAGTTCCTTCCACAGGCAGGTTTCTGAGAACACAGAACAACACAGAATCAAGGCCTAGCTTCTATGACTAATCACTTTTTTTTTAAGAGAAAGATTTTTTGCTACAGGGCGTGTGTGCTCACCAGAGAGACAGAAAATAAGAAATCATCCCTGGAAAGATGCCCATGCCACAGGCCCTTCTCCTTTATTCTCTCGGGATTTTGGGCACATACACATGTACCCAGCATGAGGTTTAAGCCTCTGGGCCCAGGGCTTGAACTGCGGTCGACTATGTGGGAGTCCAGCAACATAACCATTACACCATCTGCTGGTCCCAAAATTTTAATCACTTTAACTGCATGTTCTAGGAAACTAACAGAGACTTATTATCCAGGCTTGTGTCCAAAAGTCTCTCTGGGCTATGAGGGACTGGAGCTTATCTAGACTTCTCTGGATGTTCTATTTCTCCCTAAGACTCCTGGTGGGGTAGCAATCTCTGGGGTATTCTGTCCTCAGATATGAAAACAAGTTGAGGGACCAGCAGTTGGCATAAGGCTATGTCGCAGGACTCCCATATAGTCGACCACGGTTCTTGTCCCGGACCCAGTGGCTTAAACTCACGCCGGGCACATGTGCGTGTGTGCGTGCCTAAGATCCTGCGAGGGGAATGGAGGAGAAGGGATTGCGGCGTGGCCATCCCCCCTGGGGTGATTTCTCGCTTTCTGTCTCTCTCTTTCTGTCTTTCTGGTGAGCGCATGTGCCCTATTGCAAAAACTTCTCCAAAAAAAAAAAAAAGAAAACAAATTGGATTTAGAGCCAAGAGCATTTGTGTCTCCCTATGAATTTTTACCTAGATGTCCTGAGGAGAAAAAGTTTGCAAGGCGAGTATTAAGCAGTTATTAGTTGCTTTGGTGGTATAAGGGTTCAGCCTCCAGGAGCTTCCTTCCCTCTGAGACAGAACCCAAAGGACAAATCCAAATCCCCACAAATACTTTGACCTCTAGCTTCAAGATAGTAATAGTCAATGCTATTTTCCTTCATAATTTACAAAGTACTTCCTTGGTCATTACTCAATTTTTAAAAAAATAATTATTTAATTTTATTTGTTATTATTTTTTATTTGAGCAGAGAGACCAGAAAGGGGAAAGTGAGAAACCAAGCCACCAGATCTGGGACTCAAACCGCTGTTAGCCATGTGGCAGTCTAGTGCCTTAACCACCACACCACCCGTCGGCCCCAATCATTATTCAATTCTTTTGTTTTTATAATTATTTTATTTTGCTTATTATCATCATTATTATTTGTTTAATTTGACCAGAGAGAGAGAAAGGGAAAGTAGGAAAGCAAGTCTTCAGGTCTGGGACTCAAACCTCAGTCAGCCATGTGGGAGTCCAATGCCTTAACCACCACGCCATCTGCAGACCCCAAGTTTTGTTTTTAGAGAAATTTTTTCTATAGGGTGTGTGTGCTCTCTAGAGAGACAGACCAAAAGTGAGAAATCACTCCCCCAGAAGGGATGGCCATGAAATCCTTTCTCCATTCTCCTCTCGGGATTTTGGGCACATACACACATGTGCCCAGCATGAATTTTAAGCCACCAGGTCAGGGACCTGAACCACAGTGGACTATGTGGGAGTCCAGTGGCATAATCATTATGCCTTCTGCTGGTCCCATTATTCAATTCTTATTCCAACTAGCCAGATAGAGAAACAAGTGATGGAGTGGATCCTGGAGCCTAGGTTTCCTTACTCTAGTAACCTCAGCACCTGATCAGGTCTTCATTAGAATCCCCCAGGGAAGGGACTGGCAGGTAGCACAGTGGTTAAGGTGCTGGACTCCCACATAGCCAACTGTGGTTTGAGTTCTGGACCTGGAGATTTGCTTTCTCTCTCTCCCTCTTATCGAATTAAAATATAATAATAAAATAATAAGTAATCTTTTTTTAAAAAATGAATCCTCCAGGGAAGCTTTAAAATCGCCATTATCAGGACCAGCAGATAGGCGTAACGGTTACATTGCTGGACTCCCAAGTAGTCAACCATGGTTTGAGTCCCAGACCCGGGACTTTCAAACATGCTGGGCACATGTGCATGTGTGCCCAAAATCCCGAGAGGAGAATGGATAAGAAGGGATTGCAACATAGCCATCCCCACGGGGGGGGGGCGGGTAATTTCTCATTTTCTATCTCTCTGTCTGGTGAGCACACCCACCCTATAGCAAAAGTCTCTCCAAAAAAGAAAAAAAAAATCGCCGTTATCAGGCCCATATACCCCTGCACACTCTCATTGAGAAGATCTGAGGTAGGGCCCAGAATAAACTTTCATGAGCTTCCCCAATAATTCTCATGCTCCTCCAAAGTCAAGAAGCACAGCTCTAAAACATTTTGTTTGGCCCAGCCATGGGGTGCACAGGCCGTAGGCACTGCTGTGTGATGCTGCAGCCATATGGGAAGGCCCTGGGTTAGGTTCCTGATCAACCTAAACACATGGTGGGTACCAGAGAGTGTGCTGGTGATCCTGGCTGGCAGGATGGCTGGGGAAGCATTGCAGTGAAACAGGGTCCTGTTGGGCCCCACTCCGTCTCTAAGTAAAAAATTATTTTAAAACCTTTAAAATATTCCATTTAGGAGCCAGCAGGTAGCATGGTGGTTAAAGGCACTAGATTCCCACATGGCTAACCATAGTTCAAGTCCCAAACCTGGTGGCTTGCTTTCTCTCTTTTCCTTTCTGTCTTTCTCTATTCAAATTTAAAAATGGTAACAAATGGAATTAAATACAGAAATAATTCTTTAAAAAATAAAATTCCATTTAATTGCTAGCCTTTGGTCTTCCCTGCCCAGAGTCATTCTCTTTTTTGTGTTTCTCTCGGTGAAGGCAGTGAGAGCCACCATGAAAAAGACATGCAAATGTCACGGCATCTCAGGAAGCTGCAGTATTCAGACATGCTGGCTGCAGCTGGCTGATTTCCGGGAGATGGGAGATTACTTGAAGGCCAAGTACGACCGGGCAGTGAAAATTGAGATGGATAAACAGTGGCTGAGGACTGGGAACAGCGCTGAGGGCCACGGGGCGCCCACGGAGGCCTTCCTTCCTAGCGCAGAGGCTGAGCTGATTTTTCTAGAGGAATCACCAGATTATTGTACCCGCAATTCCAGCATGGGCATCTATGGTACAGAGGGTCGTGAGTGCCTGCAGAACAGCCACAACACATCCAGGAGGGAGCAACGCAGCTGCAGGCACCTTTGCACTGAGTGTGGGCTGCAGGTGGAAGAGAGGAGAACTGAGGCCACAAGCAGCTGTAACTGCAAATTCCAGTGGTGCTGTACGGTCAAGTGTGACCAGTGTAAGCATGTGGTGAACAAGTACTACTGCACACACTCCCCAGGTGGTGTCCAGTCCCGGGGAAAGGGCAGCCCGCGCTAACCCCCCACACAAACTCAGACTCACTTGCTCAGTTGCATGATGGTAGAGGGAGAACAGCTTGGAAAATCACAGGGTTTGTCTGTAGTTCCGCTCCTGATATCTGCTGTAGATGTGGAAGTGGAAGCCGGAGAAAGTACAGCCGATTCTTGGAAGAGTGCAAATCAGCCTTAGCTGACCCTATTTCAGCTTTCCTGCAAGCTACTTCCTGGTCTTTGTGCCTATCTATATGCAGCTTCCTAAAGGGGAAGTTTGGTTTGGGAATCTATATCCAGAGCCACCTCGAGGTACCTGTTCCTTTAAGTTCCAGACCACATCCAACCCAGCTGTGCTGCTGGGAATCAGAGAGAATCTAAGTAAAGAATGACAGAGTGCTGTTCAGGCTCCTGAAGGAGCACTTCAGGAGTGCTTTCCCGACTCTGGCTCACGCCAGACAGACCAGACTACAAATGCATGCAAATAAACGAGACAGAGGCCATTGTTCTGCCTATGGGAGGTTTTGGAGGGCTGGGCTTTCTTACCTGAGTATGCACTTTGGGGAAGTTCTCCCTACCCAAGTCTGGAGAAACCATGACCCAGTATAACCAGAGGACTTTTCCAGCTTATAAACCATCTCTGGAGCCATGGAGAGGAACTGGTCACAGTAAGTGGACAGGTGACTACAACGTACCCACACAAGGTCCCACAAGAGGGATTTTCCCCCAGAGAGTTGTACCATGACCCTGTTTTGTTCTTCCCAGGGTGGGAACAACTTGATTTTGCAATAAATGCTTCTAGAATATGTCCACCTGAGGTCTTTTATTACTTCCCTGGGAAATCTTAGGAGCAGAAAGGAAATGGGCTTATAGGGAAACTAGAAATACCCAGTCACCTTCATTTCAATGTTTGACCAGTAATAAAACTGAGGCCCAACCGCTGACCAATAGGGACTGACTCTTGATTTAGAGGATGTTCTTTTAATGTGATCTAAGTAATTTGGGGAATAAAGAAGCCCTTTAAACTTGGGCCACATTCAATGTGTGTTTGCTTTTTTAGCTTAGGCTTCCTGGGGTGTCTGTAGGCCAAGACCCTGGCTCCAGGGCAAGAGGCTAGGAGAGCTGTGGATTCTACTTTCCTCATTTGCATTTCTACATCTTCCCAGGTAATCTTTGAAGGAAGGGTTCTCAGTAAGAGAGCCCAGGGACTCACCAGTGGTCTCCCAAATCTGGATAGCTCAGCCTTGGGAATCACCCCAGTCTGCATAGTCCCCACACCCTGCAGGTAGGAGATATTTCAAATATGTTGAAAAAGCAAGTAAAATAAACTGATCATCAAAAGTGGAGAAATACCTCCAGCTTATCATTTTAAATTAGGAAACAATTTAAATGTTCAATAAGGGGTAATTAGTTAAATTATGGCTCTGCAGTATATTAACCACTAAAATAATATGGTTCAGATATACTTAGTAACATGGAAAATACATAATTAAGTGAACAAAGTTGATTACAAAACAACTTATGTGGAATGAATTCAATTTTGTTTTTAAAAGCTATGAAAATATTTGCCATAATGTAATACCAAAATAGAGTGGATTGTTCTCCTTTTCTGTTTTTCTGTATTTTTATATTTGTGAAATTTTATAATAAACAAATATTTTTGTCATCGGAGAGAATTAATGTGTTATTTTTTATGCCCCAAAGGAATAATCAAACCTTTTTTAAAAAACTGAAATGTAAAGTAAAATATTCCTTAATAAAGTTGGCATCTCAAAATAAACTATAAACAGGTACCTGAAAGTCCACTCTGGTCTTTCTGACATCTAGTGCATTTAAAACTACCAGAGACAGGCCAGGTAATAGCGAAGTGATCAAGGTGGCTGAATCCTATATGCCTGACTGTATGGTTTGAGTCCCAGACCCGTTGACTTGAAAAACACACAGAGCATGTGTGCATGCATGCCCAAAATCCCAAGAGGAGAAAAGAGACAGGATTGTGGCATGGCCATCTAAGCCTGGGGGATGAAGTGCTTTCTCACTTTCCCTATCTGTGTCTCTCTAGCACCGCATGTGCCCTATGACAAAAAATTTTAAAATGAAATAATAGGGGCCAACAGGTGGCATGGTGATTAAAGCACCAGCCTCCTACATGACTGACACAGTTTGAGTCCTGGACCCAGCAGCTTGAAAATCACACTAGGTGTGTGTGTTTGTATGCCAAAAATCCCTAGAGAATGGAGAAGGGATTATGGCATAGGCATTCCCCTGTGAGGGGTGATTTTTCACTTTCTCTCTCTCTGGCTCTCTCTGTTTCTCTCTGGTGAGTGCATTCACCCTATGGCAATAAATAAATAAATAAATAAATAAAATAAAATAAAAATACAAGGCAAGTGGCATGGTAGTTGTGGTGCTTGACTCCCACATAGCAGACTGTGATTCAAGTCTCGGAGCTGGTGGCTTGCTTTCTCACTTTCCCTTTCTCTCCCTCTCTGTCTCTTTCTGGTCAAATTAAAACAAAAAATAAATAATAATAACAAGTAAAGTTAAATAACTTAAAAATAAGTAAATAAAAATACAGTAATAAAAACCACAGCTGTCAGAGGCCAGAGACAATGAGAAAATGATAAAAATTCAGCCTCTGTCAGGAAATGGAAGGTTTCCTCTACGTCCCTTCTTCAAAAGAAGGTTTTAAGAAGTAGACTACATTGGGGCCAGCAGGTGGCATGGTGGTTAAGGGTACTGGACTCCCACATGGCTGACCATAGTTTGAGCCCCAGCCCTGGTGGCTTCCTTTCCCACTTTCCCTCTCTCTCTCACACTGTCCCTCTCTGGTCAAATTAAAATAAATAAATAAAGTTAAATTAAACAATTCCTTTAAAAAAAAATAGACTGCATGGTGGTAAGTTGGTTAGATGCCATATGGCCAGCTGAGTGGTTCAAGTACCAGACCCAGCAGCTTAAAAAACATGCCAGGCACATGTGCATGAGCGCCCAAAATAGAGGAGAATGGAAGAGACAAGTCTAGGGTATGGCCAGCCCCGCTTAGGGGTGCTTTCTCACTTTTCCTCTCTTTTTCTCTCTCTAGAGAACGCATATGCTCTATTGCAAATTTCTGAAACAAAACACTAAACTAGTGACAGCATGGTGACAGTGTAGTTGCACATGTGTGTTGGTAGAAGAAGGGGAATGGTCAAGATGCTAAGTTTATGGTGAGGAAATAGGCAACCTAAAGAACAGATTATGTCTCTGGACTCAAAGAAAAAAAAAAACCATAAACTTATCTGACCCTACAGTTAAACATTCAGCAAATATAGATGCCAAAGTACCCATCTTGAAACCTGAGTTATGACACTGTACCCTGAACAAACTAGATTTTCTCATTCTTTTTTTTAAAAAGAACTATTTTAATTTTATTTGTTATTATTATTATTATTTTGAAGTTGACCAGAGAGAGAAAAGGAAAGTGAGAAAGCCAGCTGCCAGGCCCAGAACTTGAATCACAGTCAACCATGTGAGAGTCCAGTTGCCTTAACCACCATACCATCTGCTGGCCCCAATTTTCTCATTCTTAACTGAATCTCAGTCCAAAGAACTCTGGTACCTGAAACTTTGTCCCCAGATAATCTTAGGAGGAATTTTCAGAAATAAAATCATCTCTGGTGCCCCGTTGAAATGGTCATTGCAGGAGAACGGCTTGTGTTTATTATAAGATTATATCACATTTTTTTTTTCACTAAGAAAACCCAGAGCAATGAAAACACCATAAAAAGTTTGCCTAATTCCCAAAAAAACTCCTAGTCTCTTAGGCTCTTCTGAGCCTCTTCTATCTTCATCCATCTTACTTTCAGAGCACTCAGTCACACCAACCAACTTCCCAACATAGACCTCAGGCCAGAAACTAAAGGAATGTGGATTTCTCTACATCCATCACCTTCCTGTCAAGATTCATTCCAAGGCAATACAGTGTCATTCAGATTCATTAGTCACAACCCTACACTCCTTCCCTTTTGGTTTTCCTTAACAAGCTGGCTATCATTAAGGTGACAGAACAGTAAAACCCCCGTGTTTGATTGGTTCAGGGCTCAAGACAGACTGGTCATGTGGATCTTGTGATGTGGATCTTGGAAACCTGCTACAAAGGGGATCACCTCAACAAGGACAGCACTGTATCACTTCACCTGGTGGATAGAATCCTGTATTTCTTTTCTTTTCTTTTTTTCCCCCCTATTAGCTATAGGGTGTGAGAGCTCTCTGGAGAGAGAAAGAGAAAGTGAAAAAGCACCCCCCAGGAGAGATGACCACACTGCAATCCCTTCTCCTTCATTCTCCTTTTGGGTTTTGGGCATGTATGCACACGTGCCCAGCATGTTTTTCAAGTCACCAGGTCTGCGACTCGAACGGGACAGTCAGCCATGTGGGATCTAGGTGCTATAACCACTTCCACTTCGCCACCTGGCTGGCCCAAATCCTGTATTTTGTTAGTTTATATTAGAAATCAAAATATACTTATGATTACCAGACCCTACAGAGCCTTTCTCCTTCACCTCCAGTTTCTTCTTTTTTTCCATCTGTCCTTCCACATAAGCAGAACTAGAGATTCCTGAGGAAACTCTCAGAGACCCTGTAGTCCCTTGCCAATCTATTTATTGCTAGCTACTGGGTGACCATACCGATAAGGGAAAGTAGAGCAGAGAAGAAGTAACTGAGCACCTACTAAGTGTCAGGTGCTTAATAGATATCACCTCCTTCGATCTTCAAAACCATTCAATTAAAGAATTACTAAGATTCCCCTCTTACTACTGAGGAAACTGGCTCAGAGAGGTTTAGCACCCCAGCTGGAAAGCAAACACAGGGAAGCAGATCTGAATTTAGGCCTGCCACCTTGTAAGCCTATACCTCTCTTTTACACCACTTACACTCTGGGAGCCTGGGGATCGCTGGCAACATTCTTAACTGTCAGGACAGTTTTGTCAAAGGACTACCATTCATATGCAGTAAAAGGTGTCCTCTTCCTCCCTCTTCCACAAGAAAGTCTTATTTCTCAGCCTTTCTCCAAATGAACTTTTGATTTGCAAAGGCCTTCCTTAGAATGATAAAGCAAATAGCCTGGCTCCTGCTGCCAGGAGAGATGACCACACTGCAATCCCTTCTCCTTCATTCT